CATGATTCTAAAGCCTCTGCGCTTTGTGTCTCATCACCCTCTTCTCACTGCTTCCGCTCACTCATCCAGCATTGAGGGAGGGCTTTCCCGCTCTGGGCTAGGCATTGGCGCCCTAAAACTTATGATCTCGTGACTCTCTGTTCTTAGCTACTAGAGGTATGTAAAACCCCAAAGGCTCTAATATATTAATTGGTTTTATTTAAAAATTCTTTGTATAGAATTTACTTAGAGTCTACCTGAAGTAATCTTCAAAGGATCGAAGTGCTCCTTTGAGAACTCTGTCATTTTAAGTGAGTAAAAGTTTACTCTTTAACAACTTCATTCAACAGGCAGATCTTTTCCTTGAAAAATGTGAACGTCCTCGATAAACCCTAATTGCATATATGTAGCATAAATATTGTTTTTTTATTGGATTTGTTGCAGAAGTAAGGGCCTCTTTTGTTTAAATGGACTTGCTTTTGAACTATGACAATTTAATCGTGATAGTTTATCGGTTCAGCTCTGGAGAAGCTGAGGTAAAGCTATTTTGCTTCAGCCAGAGCTATTTATATACCATCACTGAGAGCTCCTTTTCATATTATCGGTGTTATTGCGTTCTAAAAAAAGGAGTGTTAAAAGAAAACTTAGGATTTTTTTTTCCTGTGCCCTTATTCACCACAATGATATTTTTAGAGGTTATTTCATCTAGTATATCTCTTCAGAAAGGGCTTTATCTTTTCACAGTAGAGGCAGACAAGAACTCAGCTTGAAGCCATTCCTTCTCAAGTCTTCTTTTTTGAAGGGTGAAAGGATCAGAGAGAGTGGAACTGTGTGTGTGAATTGAACCTCTGCCCTTAGCCCCTTGCCAAGCCACACATCTTCACCAGGGGAGAAACGGCCATAAATTTAACTGAAGAGGCCTTTAAGAAAAGGGGTTAAAATTTAAGACACTATTTCTAGGAGTTTCTCTCAGCAGAAAGAAAGATCAGTCTTAGAAGTTTCTCCTGACTTCTCTTTGCTTCCAGAGAAGCCATCATTCTGCTTAGCTTTCCTTTAAAAGAGTGCTTTGCTGAACAGGGCAAGCAGATAATCATTCATTGTTGCAAATACCTGCTGAATTGGCCGAGTACAGAAGAGGAATGACAGCAGATGGCTGCTCCAGTGGCTAGCATTTGTTAGCTGAGGCTCTGGAAGACAAGCTAACTTCTAGAAGAACATCAGACATACAGCTGCAAACACTGTCCTGTAACAAAGCTAAGTTTGGAAACAGGAGTAGATTTCGCCCTGAAAGTGGAGTTGTTGATGTCAACAGAAGCATCTCATTTTGGGCATGGCTCTGGGGTCTTGACAGAAGAGTGTGTGGAAGCCGCACTTCAGCCTGAGCTGCACAGCCGGCCGAGAATGCCCAGGTTCTTTTGGAAGGCCGCAGGCCGAACCGTGTGCTGCATTTAGTACTGGTATCCACACCTACGGACCTTGGTGTGCATGGATCCGTACCCATAGGCTCTTGTCCATCTGCCCTTCCATGGTATTGTGAACATGTTAGACCACTTGTTAGGTTTCCCTTCTGATTTATTACCGACCCTATAAGACATCCTATAATAATTTGTGAAGTTCTCTTTTCGTCTGCTCTTGTAACATGAAACAGTATGTTTCAGAAAACATGATTGCTTAGGACATTTTCCCTTAAAATTTTGTGAATTATGCACATTTGGGGGCTATGGGAAGGGATAGGCTAAATGTTGGGCTTCACGACTGCAAATCAATTTACAAAAGGCCATGTGAGAGATAATGCTTAATATAATTCAGCTTCCCGTCCATTAACATCCTGAACTATGGTGTAAAGTTTTGTATTTTTATTCTAGAAATATAGCTGACATTAGCATTCAGGTATGCAGTTCAGTTTATCTCTAGTGAAGAGTCTTTTAAAATTAAGTTAAATATAGCACAAAAGACATAGAAAATCAATAATATTTCATTTCTTTTAAGTAAGATCTTTCTATATACATTTGCTTTGGGTGCTTATAAATTTCTCCCTTTACAGAACTATTTTATAATAAATGTCAGTTATAGATTTAACTGTGGCAAAAAAAAAAATAGTGCAGGTTTTGTAGTACCTTTAATATATCAGGAAAAAACTGCTTAGCTAAGTAGTAGTGTAGGAAATAGTGGTACAATCTCCTAAACAATATTTCTAAAATGTAGTGATATTAATGGGAGAGCATTTAGGACCTTAAGCTGTCAAATATTATAGGATTCAGTATCTTGTGCATTAAGGTATTTAAGCTTCTTTGCTTATTGGATTACCTATCATTACCCTTTACACAGAGTATTTGTAGATGGATGTGAACTTGACTCACAAATATTTTCTTTTTTGTCTAAATACTCCCATACTAGTGATAGGTAAGATTTATTTTACCTTAGCATTATGTTTGTAGTCTTAAGATGTTAGCTGCAGTTAAAACTGAATTCTAGTAGCGTTAGGAAGTGATTGCTAGAACCAGTTAAAACTGATTTGTTAAGTATTAGAAATGGAATATTTGGAAAATCTCAATTTTTTTAATAGCCATATGTGCCTCAGTAAGTTTAAAAACAGCCTCTAGGGGTGTTACTAAGGAAACATTTCCTCTTTTTTTTGGAAATAGCTAACTACAAATTAAGTACATATTAATTACTCATCAGGCTTCTCTTAGCTTATGTGTGACCCCAGTGTGATTACTGTGGCAGCCATACTAGGTAGAATATATTTTAGATTTGTCCTCATCGCTGAAATAAGTATTTTGCTGTTACTGTTCGGGTAGAAAATGTAAGAGTCTATAAAAGGCATTTCCTGTCTATCAGATTTGTTTCTGCTTATGAGAGGTTGAATTTGAAACTAAGAGAGATGCAGATTAAGACTTTGGTGTATAACATAGTTGATGAAAAATCAGCAGTTTATATCTAAATTAAAATATGTCACTGCTTTTTTTTTCTTTTTTAAACAATACAGAGCATTTAAATTAGTGATCTAATTACTTTATAGTTGTTGAAAATGTAAAATGAAACCCAGAAGTTCTACTGTTCATTAACATTGGTATAGTACTAAAAGATTACGAATTACTCCAGTTGCCTGGAAAACTCTTGATTTATGCATTCCATTTGATTATCTTACTGCTTCACCTTCTGAAGTGAATGTCAGAATAGTAGTTTAAGAGGGAAGGCCTTTCTATATGTCTAAGAAAAGATGCCCTAAACAGCTTTTTACAGTTTGCAAGTGGTGATAACAGTTGCCTCCTTAAATATTTCTCGGCACTGTTTTTTATTAAAAAAGAAAGGCTTACTACGTCTAATAGTAACATTTCCTCTTAGCTTCATTAGGTATGACAAGTATGGATGTTAACTTTTTCATTTAAAAAAATCAGTTTATTTTAGTGATCTAAGATTTCCCAATCCTGACTTGCTGAGAGTATTGATATTACAAAATAGTCTAAAATTTTAAGAATGACTATTTAAATTTTTTTCAGGTCAGAGTATAAAATATACCATGTTGACAAGGGTAAAAATGTTTGTGGTCTTAAGTAGACTCATTAATAATTGACAAACTTGTACAACTTTTCCTCTTCTTAATCTTTACTTAACAAAAGATGGATTTAGTAGGATCAGACTAACTTTTACCTTAGAAAAAATTGAAGCAGTTTTTGTGGCCTTTGAAGTAGAAATATCATTTCCTGCTGTCTCTTCTTGGGTCCAGCTCTGTTGGTCATTGGCTCTTTGGTGTATCTCTGGAGTTTTATGTGTTTTGACTATAACTTGGAGGAGGTGAGTGCAAATGGGCTTCTTCAGGAAAGACTTATTTGGGCAGATTTTTATTTTAACACTTTATAAAGAGCTTACTTTCTAGAAGAAAGTATAATTTTCAGTCAAACAGTTGACAATTTAATATTTATTTACAATATTTTATTAAACTTTGTTGAACTACTTACATGTGTACATGAAATTTTATACTTATAAAATATTTTTATTTTATTTTCTACTATTAGATATTATTTATTTTCCAGAGTAAGACCAAGAATACAGTTTTTCATTTTTAGTTGCTATGTTCTTTTGATTTGAGGGAATTGTTGATTTTGAGTTTGTGCAATTTAAAGGAAATGCATTTTAAAGTACTTTTTCCTAAGTTACTCACATACTAAAAGTCTGGCACATTCTTCTTGGTGTTTGGAAAACAGTGACGAACACCACGTCCCTGCTTTCAAGTTTTCCCATTTGAGCAGGTAGTCACAGGGAGTATTCATTTAAGCAAGTCCATGAGGTATTTTCAGATTGTGATAAGTATAGTGGAAAACCCAGAATATGTAGTGGTTGGAGGGAGATGGGAGTACATTAATAGGGAAGTCATAAAGGGAGGTCCCATTCAGGGGAAGCAGGCATCAAGGTTCTGACCCTAGAAGGAGCTTGACACGTTCAGCAGTTGGAAAGGAGGCTGCTGTGGTGCTCTACTAAGTGGGGGAATGACTGTTGCTCAGTTGGCTGTGTTGGCTGGCTAGTTCATTTGGGGCCTTCTAGGTAATACTTACAGAGAAGGGAGTCAGTCATTGGGAGGGACATGATCTGATTTATGCTTTTCAAAGACTGCATAGGGCCTGTGCATGTAGAACAGATTAGAGGGGCCAGGAAGTTGGCAGAGAAATCATTTAGAATTTTTGCTGCGGTCCAGGGAACTGGTTGATGGCTGCTTGGACTCCAGTGGTTGCCCTGGAGGTTCTGAAAAGAGGATGAATTTGTGATAGATACATAATAGCCCCAAAGCAGGAAATATGCTGGTCCTTTGCCTTCTTTACCTAAATCCTGTGGTTTCTGATCATTGTGGCAGCTTCAAATGTCACTATATTGTGTCAAAGGAAGAATTGATCGTAGGGCATGTAGATGAGTTAATTTACAGCACAGACATCACACCAAACAGATTTTGTTTTATTTAATCTGGCAAGTTGCATTAAGCATTTATTTGATTTTTTAAAAAATGTACCATTTTGTTGTTGCAGGAAATGTTTTCATATTTGTCCAGCCAACTAGAGAAGCTGTCAGAATGCTACAATGAAAGACTGTTGTATACACCTCACAATCCCATATCTTTAGGTAATATGTTTTTCTTAAGGAAAAAAAAAAAATCATTGCTTCTTAACCCTCCCCAGCAGGGAGCTGGTATTTCTATAAAGAGTATGAATTCTTTGTGGTTACAATGATATTTCTAAATTCATTACAGTATTAATTTGGAAATTGAAAAAGTGTAGCCTTTTGAAATGCTTTAATGTATTTCTGAGATAAAAAGGATACACTGAAAAGAGTCCAAATCAATATTAAGTATTATAATGCATATGCAGAAAATGATACTTTAACTCCTGCTTCTAACCAAAATAATTTAGTCACTAGTAAGAACTCTAAAAATTTTAAAAAGTTTCTACCAGTTAACAAAAAACTATAATATTAGAAATTAAATCTGTGTTGTTTTTAATGCTGTGATTGTTTTCCTGACTGTCTATGTTAGAGAACTCTGTATTCATGATAATTTCCTTTTATAAGGACTATATATTTTTGTCACGTAGTACAAGGACTATGAAACAGGTTAATATGAATGTTGACTTTTATGCATTTAACTTTCAAGTTTCCTTATTATCCCTTTTGTGAATGACAGTTCCCCAACTTCATATTTTATGTGTATCTAAGGAAAGTAAGGACTCAATCATCTGTAACTGAAGCCTATTTCAGGAATAGGCTTCCATGGAAAACCATTTGCCACTGATACATAATAAAACCCACCCTAGTTAGTCCTTGGCTGGTTTCTAATCTATGTAAATGTTGTAGAAGATGATAAGGTATGGTTTGAATCCCACTTCTGCCATTTACTAACCTCTAACCTCCTTTCCCCTATCTATAAAATAGAGGCGACGATCCCTCACATACAAAATTGTTAAAGAATGGTTAAGGGGCACCTGGGTGGTTCCGTGGGTTAAGTATCTGACTCTTGATTTAGGCTCAGGTTATGATCTCAGGGTCATGATTGAGCCCCATGTTGGGCTCTGAGCTCAGCGCAGAATTTGCTTGTCCCTCTCCCTCTGCTCCCGTCCCTACTGCTCTCCCTCCCTCTTTCTCAAATAAATTTTTAAAAATCTTTTTTAAAAAATGGTTGAGGTTATCAAGTATATAGTATACCATATCAGGAAATGGTAGCAAGCAGTAGTGGTGAGAATATAGTTTACTCACATAACATCCGAAAGAGCATTCTCCTTTTCATATGCCGAAGTTGATTTTACTTAGTCTCACATATGTACTGAAAATTTCCCACATTCTCATCTTATATGTTCTTAAAACACGGTTGAATTTGAATAAACTGCCATATTGATCATGTCAGTGTTCCATTTTCAATTGGCAAGTTCACTCTTTAGAAGGGTGATAGGGAAATTCTATTCTGATTCTTACTGTGTTAATTTGTATTAACATCTTTTTGTCTGATAGGTAAACAGATCCTTACTATCATTTATTTGTGCATTAAAATGAAATCATGCCACTTGACAATGAATAAAAAATAATGTCTCCATGCCAGTTACAAAAAAGTATATGATCCTTTTGTCAGAGGTACTTAGAGTAGTCAGAATCATAGAGACAGAAAACAGGATGGTGGTTGTGGGGGGTGGGGATGGGCAGGAGGAGAATGAAGAGTTACTGTTGAGTAGGTGCAGTGTTTCAGTCTTACAAGATGAAAAGAATTATGGGCGTGGATGGTGGTGGTGTTTGCACAACAGTTGAATGTGTTTAATACCACCGAGCTGTATGCCTAAAAATGGTTAAGATGGTAAATTTTATGTTATGTGTATTTTAACACACACACAAAAGTAGGGTCTCCTTCATTAAGTGTTTATTTTTTGAGGGATTCTGTGCTGGTGAACCAAGGTGTATTGGGATCCTTTTTTCTTTTTCAGCTATGACACTTAAGACACTAAGTGAATACCAGGACAGATCTGTCACTCAGCTTGGCTCAATGCTTTTTACCAGACAGGTTTCTGGAGCCAGGTAGGTATGTGTGAAAGAGGCCTGGACTTATTTGTGTCTCCAAAAACTTAACTGTATTTTTCCTAAACAGTTGACCCCAAGTATATGCTGAGCTCCGTGTGAGTGTTCCTCATGGGTGAAGGAACGATAAGGTGGAGAGTGTGTAGGGCTGTGGTAGCCCATGTGTGGAAGGCCTGCACTTGAAGCAGTCTCAGAAGGATAGGGACCTTGTCTGTTTTCATGGACATCCAGAAACAAAGTTTCATCACCCCTCTGTACATATTTTTATCGTTATTTTCCTTTGTTTGATCATCTTCAGTGGTGTCACATTTTGGTGCTAGAGATAAGTCATCTTCATTACTAAATTCAGATGAAAACATTTTTAAGGAAAAGCTCATTTCCTAAACCAAAAAGTTAGGCAATTCTTGTCTAAGTACTGCCTTTGAAAAATGTACTTTTTGCTCTTACATGTCTTAAAAATGCATTTCATTTTTCATTTTATATTTGATGAGGTCAGAGAAAAGACTTGAAAAGAACTATCTTGCTCTAAGTACTCTTCTTTACGTCCCTTTATTAAAGAATTTCTCTCTGACTACCAGAGATTAGAGAGTTCACATCAAAGGACAACTTTTTAAAAGAAAAAAATCTTAGATTAATTCACCTTTTACCTTGATGAACTATATCCATTCATGGCATAGTTTTGACACTTCTAAAATGGTTTTCTTGGCCTTGCTTTTAGTGTTGCCACTATTTGTCTTTTTGTTTAGGATGATTTAATTGACTTATTTTTTTTAAAGTACCGTTAGAAATCTGCTTATATCAAGTATGCCAATGAAATCAAGCTTACAGAATGCATGTGCCATCGCCAAATATCCCTTTATGCTGACCACCACCCCCGTAAGCAGTCACAGAATTCTTTCTGGATCCTTGCTTTAAAACCCTCCATTGCACAGCACGGATCAGATAGGTGGAATTTCGGTATGTTGATTGTTGGAGGTGATACACAGCAATTTGTCAACGTGGTTTGACTTAGAAATTTCAGTATTCCATTTGAAGTATATATATGTGAAGTCAGATTCCATATTTAGTACAAAAACAAATAATTTTATTTTTTTTCTCTTTGAAGAAGGGGCAAAGGTATTTGTGATTCCTAGAAGTAATAGCTCTTAATGGAAGATAAGTCAGTGGTCATCTCCAGGCAGCACTCTTCTACGGAGAATAGCCGTGTATTGTATAATTTTATCTTAAGGCTGCCACCGTCTATTTTCATAGGCCCTGATTTATGGCTGTTTTTAACTTCTTTATCAGTAGATCTAAGGCTTAGTAATACTGGTATCTGTTGTTTATGGGTAATAGTCTGTTAACACCACCAGACATATTAAATTGCTAAATCTTCTACCTTACAGGGTTGTGCCTCTTGGGTCTGTGCAAGCCGTGAGTGGCCACACCTTCCGAGGCTTTATGGCACATACAAATAATTACCCTTGCGCTTACCTCAACGCTGCAGCAGCCGTTGGAATGAAGACACAGGATGTGGACTTGTTCGTGAAGAGACTTGACAAGTGTTTAAAGACAGTAAGAAAAGAACAAAATAAAGAGAGTAATGCATCTGCAGTTGAAAATTACAACAAAACTGAAGATGTAGATATTGAAGAAATGGCCTTAAAACTAGATAATGTGCTTCTTGACACGTCCCAGAATTCTTCATGACATGTGTAAGGTTTCTTTTTGACTATTTGAAAGAAGTGATGAGGCTACAGTACAAAGCAGTTTAAAGATAGGGCTTGAGGTTTCGGAACTGAGAATGTCTTGGAGGATTTGGAGGATATTTGGTTGAGGTACAGACTGAGGTCTGAGCTAGCCATCTGATGACTTGCTATCTTTTTTAGATTCTTAGACTGCCTCAATTATTATGTTCCTTAACAGATAAAACTACCATTAGGATTTTTCTAATTGTTAGAATATTTGTCAATTAAGCATTATGATTCAGATCATTCTTACTAGCGTGACAAGTAAAATTACTTCTAATTCTTTTCGAAATGTGTAAATTGTTTCTTCCTGACCATTCTCTACCATTCACAAATGACTTCTGTTTCTGGTCACAGAGAATTGAGAACGATCCACTACTGCTATTTACAAGATGTTGGTGTCTGTAAGTCACAGTCTGCCTGTGAAATGGTCATTCCCCAGGGAAGCAGAGTCCAGCGTAAGCTTTAGCTTTCACTTAGTGGTTCTCAGCTGGGGATGATTTGCTTATATCTAAGCAACACCTGGGGACATTTTTAGTGCTCACAACCTGTGGCGTGCTCTTGACATCTAGAGCTGGAGGCCAGGGGTCCTGCTGCTCAACATCCCACAGTGGATGAGCGGCTTTCTGGAACACAGCCCCAAATCTCAGTAATGCTGAGAAGGAGAAATACCACCCTAACCCAACTCCTCAAGCAAAGTTTCCCGAAGTAACTTTCCTTATTCAGTAGTGCTTCAAAGAAGAAAGCAGTAAATGTTACCAAATTATGTAGCGTTAGATTCTTAAGTGATAAGCTGGGCTGCCTGTTCTAAACCTGAGATTATATGGCATTTGTGCGTTTTTCCATTTGGGCCAGTGAAAGCTTTCTCCCACTCTTTCTGCTCTAAGCAGGCTTTGCATACTGGTTAGTTCAGGTGTTATGCACAGCCATTATCAAGAGTGGTTAACTTGGGTATTTGGGGATCTGTTTTTGCTAGGAAGGTGAAAATGACGTAGTAGGATGAACAGGTGTATTTGCCTCCTCCCCCCCTCCCCACGCTCACTTTCTTAGTTTGATATTCCAGACTTACCGGCTGTAACAATTTTTGTTGTTTATGTTTTAAGAAATAGACTAATGCCTCCAAGCCTGAGGAATGAGCGAAGCTTTTGAATACGCCAAAATGCCAAAGCCATATTCCTCAAGACCTGCTCGCTGGAGCGGTGTTTCTACGAGATGCTCACAGGGATAAAGTATCCCATGGGCAGATCATTTTGGGCCTTCGTAAACCTGCCTATCAGCACATTAAAGGCTCTGAGAATTCCTTGGAAACCAACTTAAGTGTGCCCTTATCCAAACGTGGCACCCTTTTCTCAACTAAAACCTTACTGACATCCCACTGAACATGCTTTCAAAAACACTGCAGTTGAGAATGCGGCCTTGGTTTCTGGGTTGTGTTTTTCTCTGTCACTTGGTGGTGTAAACTGTCTCACATATGAGCTCAGACAGATACCACTCCTGCCAGTGCGTAAGTTAAAATACTCTAACCCTAGCTTGACCTCCTTGGATGTCATAAAGTTTAATTATCAATATTGTAAAGGTTACTTTTAAGTTAATTATTGCATTTGGGGTTCGAATATTTTAGATATCTTTTTTTTTTTTTTTAATAGCTGTAACAACACACTCCGGGGGAGTCATACCTGGGTGAAAAGGTGGTGTGAGGTTTTTTATGTGGATTTGGGACCGAGCTGTAGAACCAATAAAGCGAAAGGGTCCCAGCCATGCCTCTGGAGTCTGCAAGAGGGAATGGAGCCGTGTTGCAGATGCTAAGTGCTGCTGGCACAGCTTCCTGGATGAGGGAGCCAGGGCGGGTTTCTAGAACAAGTGATCTATACCGTGTGAGCGTCATTTAGCTTGAGAAGGCCGGAGCCGAGAGACCAGCAAATGTTTTCTCATCTGCAGTGTATCAGCAGTTCTTGGGCTTCAGCTGCTGAATAGATAATAATTCTAATTGAAGATAAATTACATGAACCCACATGTGAATGATAGATGTGTTGTAACATTTCATTCCTGTTGCATAAAATCAGCTGCAGTTTTTATTATTAGTTTTTTCCTTTCAGAGGTTTTGGAGTAACAGCTCTGTTCCTGCTGGTTTAAATTTGACCTTGGGGTCCTGGAATTCACAAGAGTTTCTGAAGGGGTGCTGTAGGTTCTGCTGATTCGGGCTTGCCTTATGCTCCCACCCCAGTGTTGTTTTTGCTCACTCTCGCCCCTTTCCACATGTAAGTGTAAAAAAAGTATGTATGTACAGTTAAATTCACTTTAAGTTGCTAGTACTGATCGGTAAACCTCGTAATTGGCCTTCATTACCCTTGAACTGTGGTGGAGGGGCAATGGCTGATCCATTTTCCAGTCGTGACTAAGATGACCTGTCCTCACGATCCAGCTGCCCTTAATAAGCCTCTCAGGTAGAGTTTTGGAGTTTGGTTTTTAAAGTCATTGGACTGTGGTAGTCTTCCCAGAAAAGAAAATGGAATAACACAAAATATTCTTTAGGTCACTACACAATGTGTTACTTCCACAGACAGCAGGGAAAGGTATTTTAAGATCCAGCTCTCAATTTGGCTCTTACGTCCTCTGTTGATGAATTCTCACTCTACCAGGGAATGATACGCGATACCAGCCTCAGGAGTTCAGTGTTCAACCATAAATCTTTCTAGTTAGCTTTTTGCATTAGTTGAGTGAAGTTATAGAGTGTGAATTATTGAATACAGTTCTGTTCAGCCAATAGGCCCTTGATATACAGAATGGTAAATTTAAATATAAATTAAGTTTTTTCTGGTTTTCCCCCCAGCACATAACTTTCCTGTGGTTCTATTTCTGTAAGCACCCCATCATGACTGTCATCGAGCCTAAGCTATAAGCTATGTTTTCATTTGTAGATGATATGTCTATGAGAGGCTTTAGTAAAAGTTAAATGAACTAAAGACCTTTTTTTAACTAGTGATATTACTTTAATCTTGAATTAGTAGCTCATCATGAGAGTAAAATTCTGTGTTCTTTCAAAGAGGAGAATAGCTAACAGTTGAAAATAATTGAAGCAAACTGGTGAGTCTCATTCATGTAACGCTCAGAGAAAGGTTTTTGCAAACATACACATCGGGTGCACACAAGACTTGGGGTTTCTCCTCTCATTTCCTAAGATGTCCTAATTTCTCCCAAGCCCTTAAGTGATTTTGTTGTATTTTGCATTCATGAGGTTGACTTTATTTGGGAACAAAAATATAGTCCGGTTTGTATACACAGAAGCCTGGTCATCTCAGAAGTTAGGTACCTTCTAAATAAAAACTATGAATATTCTGTTAGCGGTTAAAAAACAATTCCCATCAGCAGCTTTTCCTTGTCTGTCCCATTGTGTTGATTCTCTGTCTCTTGTGGCCGCGCCTAGTGTACAGGTGCAAGACGTCCCCACCACATCCCTTTGTGCCTTTCGTCTTGTTTTCCTGTTCCTTCAGCCGTATGGTGTGTACACAGATCAGCTGATGAGCACAGGGCTAATGAATATATCTTTATAATCTCCTACGTACTATTTAGGTCAATCTAAGGCCTTAGGCAGAATCTGGAAGTGTTTATACTGTCCTGTTTTTAGCAAGCAGTGTCAACTTGAACTTCTAGAGAAATGTGAAGAAAAGCTACATTTCACTGTATAATTGTGAGGGGACTCTGCCTACTAGAATTGAAGCTGATGTCAGCCTGCTACCCTGTACGCTTTCCCAAAAGAGAAAGATGTTTCAAAAAATATTTTCGGTGTAGACTTTAAAAATTAATTATATAATTTACAATGAAATAAATTTTTAATAAATCATTGACAGTGCATTTCCTTAGTTTACCTAATCATGGCTGCAGAGAAAATCTGAAAAGTACAGATAATGAACACCAGATTACTTACTCATTTTTTGATTCAGTCATCAGTACCAATCAGCAAGAAAAGTCCTATTTATAATGGGAATCACAAGTCTCACGGGGTTGGGCTAGTTTGTTATTGTTTAAAGAGGAAGGAGATGACATTACAGCAAGCTTTTGCAAAAGATCTGTTGACTACAGAAAGCTAGATGCGTTTCATCTTTTCTAAAAGAAACACTTTATCTTTTATTTGAAAATAAAATGTGTTACTTCCTCTTCAGATTTCATTTTTAAATTGTGCTGTTTGAATTTTGCAGGTAGTTCTCATTTGTTTTGGAGCTGGATCTCTGCATGGGTACTTATTAACCATGTGAGCTCACATATTTAACCTCTGAGTATTGGTCCCGTCATATGTGAAACGGGTACAGTCTTACAGGATTGAGAATTAAATAAGATGATAATATATATAAAGATTTAACTCAGTGCCTGATATTAGCACTTTCTGTTAATAACTGCTATGATGCACTACATAAAGTTAATTTGTACTAGAGTTAAATTAAAATACATTCATTTTCTAGTTAATTTAGTAGAACTCTTTTTGAGGGGGGGGTCATCAATGGATTTTGTCCCTTCTCCAGTGGAAGTCAAAAAGTATGTGGTTGATTTTAGATGACCACCTTTTTTTTTTTTTTTTTAACTTTCAGAGTTTCTATTTTGGTTTCTATGAATTTCTTTTTGTTTTCTGTTTACGCTTGAGAATTATTTTCAAGAAACATATTTAAAATGCATTCACTATTTTATGGACTTGAATTCGGATCACTCAGGAGAACTCAGGAGAGATGGACAGAAATAGTTCATGCCATAGTGACTTCCAAATTGGCTGTATTATGGACTAAAGTTTTTGGGATAGCCAGCAGACCCGCAAGCATAGCTAAGTTCATTATATTTAGCCCTATTCTTAGATGACTTTCCACATTCAGCAGAATGACTAACACTCCCAAATTTACATCTCTAGTAGACCTCTTCCCTCAACTCCACACTCAATGAAACTGCCTGTTCATCTTTTAGATGTGCTAGACATTTATCTCCCTCATGCCAAGGGTGATTCCTTGATCTTTTCCCCCAGAAAACGTGTTCCACCCACAGACTTCCCCTTCTCAGTTGAATAGACTTCTGTTCTTTCAATTATTTAATCCAAAAACCTTGGAGAGATCCTCTGCTCCTCTCTTTCTCACAGTCTATGTCTTACCCATCAAGAAATCCTATTGTGTCGGACATTGGGGAGGGTATGTGCTATGGTGAGTGCTGTGAAGTGTGTAAACCTGACAATTCACAGACCTGTACCCCTGGAGATAAAAATATATGTTTATAAAAAATTAAAAATTAAAAATTGAAAATTAAAAAAA